GATAAATTTATGATAAAAGATTTTTTTTTATGAGCTAAATTCAAAAAAAATATGACGTATTTGTTTCGTTACATTTCTTTGGTATGCAATACAATAAATATAGAATATACATATAGATGTAATTGATGTGCTATGTATTTTAAATCTTTGTTTTTAAAATTTCAATAAATACAAATACAAATACAAAGGTCTATAGAGACTTTAATGCAAGAAAATCCGATTTACTGCATGAATCGATCGTTGCTTGTTTGCTTTTACCATTATATGTTTTACAATAATTTTGTTTATATTAAAAATTGATTATTATGATGAGTACAGATGATTCTATGTTGAGGAATGTTGCACTACCGCTTCAAATTTCTGTTTCATAGTATATAATAGGTTTGTGTGATATAACTGAAGTTATAGGGTCGCAAAGCGTGACCTTACCGAATTCCACAAGGACAATGGATCAACGCGACTAAAGGAAGCAACCGATAAAAAATGGGACGTCGTCGTCAATCAAAACGTGCCATAGTGAGATTAAAAATTGGTAATAAAAATTAATTGTAACATGGAGCGTATTATTATACTGGGTAAGTTAGTTATAAATAACATGTTACAATTAATTATATATAATAACATGTTACAATTAATTATATATAATAATATTTTTAATCTCATTATGGCACGTTTTGATTGACGACGTCACAAATGGTTCCTTCGATTATTGACGCACATTAATTTGTTCTATCAGCTGAATATTTCGTGTAACGTATAATTTTTACGTAAATTTATTTTACTTAAGCGACATGAAATAACCATTCGTTAAGATTGATTGACAATGAAATGAGAACGCTCATTATCTTTAACTTGTTAGGTACAGTTACCATATCCCTATAAAAAATTTTCGAGAAACATATCCCAACTTTCTCCAGATTATCATTCCATTATCTTTCCGGAAAATGCTTATTTTTCGGAACAAAACATATACAAATTCCTGGCCATTTCTATAGAATCCAGGTAAGTTTCGGGTAGGAATCAAATCCGGGTAAGATTCTGCTTCTAATCTTTTGTACTTTATTATAATTAGAAACCTAATCTTATTTGGATTTGATTTTTACCCGGAATTTATCAGAATTCTATGGAAATGATCAGGAATTTATACTGTATATGGTTTGTTCCGAAAAATGAGCATTTTCCGGAAAGATAATGGAATGATAATCTGGAGAAAGTTGGAAATTTTTTATAGGGATAAATATGTAATATACATTAATGGGTTTAGGTATTACAATAACCTTTTAAACGATAATTTGCGTTTAAGTTACTTATGCTAGACGACCAAAATAGTCGTACTTTTTAATTCTATAAAATATTATATGAAGAGTTTTATATTTAGATATATAGCTTTTCTTTTGTCGATAAATTTTTGAAAAATAATATAAATTATAGTTACAAGCTTAACTAGAACTTCATAAATCTAATATAAAACACATCATTTCAATGATTAAGCACTCGTTATGAGTTAGGGTTGAAGCCGATTTGCTAGTGTCGGTAAACAAATAATGTCATTGCATGATTTCACGTAATGTGATGATCAATGGGTTCCTTGTTCTTCAAGCGTCCCGCTGTATTAATGCTATAGCTTTACCTTTAAAAGAATTAAATGTCACTATTCTTTTTTCTTTAAAGCCTAGAAAAATCGCCAATCGTCTCTCAAGTCTGTTAATATAACGAAAACTATATGTGTAGATTTCAGGTCGACAGTAGTTAATTCTTCTAATGCCTGATATATGCAACAATCATTATAGATTTTTCAATTCAAAAAGGATCCAAATATGATTTTGTGGGGTTTTTGATGAAATAGAAACTCTATCAACAATGGCTACATCTGTGGTCCCAATTAATTTCACTGGAAAAATATTATTAGCACTCATATTTAGAAAATTGATGCTTTTAGATGCATCATATATATCAAGTTTCCGGTACCTAGTAGCTTGAAGTCATTTTTCTAATATGGGGCATTTTTGGTCTCCTTCTGGGGGATCATCCCATTGAAAATCAACGACACTCTCTACCTCATTCAAATTTCAAATCAATTGCCTCAAGCTTGAGACCGATAGCTGCTTGAATTTTGTCCCAGTCATTGCGCTTTATGGTCGATATTGATACATCCAAAGGTTTTTGTAGATTTTTCATCAAACTCTCAAGGCTATTAAGTCTTTCATATTAAATATTCATTAGTAGTCGTATTTTAAGTTATTTTACTAATCTAAATTCTGTATAGTTTTTAAACTTGCTGAATAAATAAAATTTATAATGTTAATAATTTTATCTATTATACGTTAAGTCATAAAAAAATCAATTTAACGAACTGAGTAATGTCTTAAGTGCAACTATACATGATGGTGTCGTGATCATGTGTATCCTCCAAATCAACCTGAAACTTTCTTACCATCCAGTCACGTTGTCGGAAACACTATTGCAAATCCTTCTTCATCAATCTTTTGAACGTTATCAATCTATCAAAAGGAATCCATTCGTATAAGATGTGGCTCTAAGTCGAAATTCTTTAATATAATCATAAACATCCTTATTTCAACTTGTCAGTTCAGTCCTTGTGTTGTTTACTGAGGGTCACATGTTTAACACCAAGCTTGCGATGTGTTATATCTGTTGCAATTTGTATATATTCCATTATATTTGCTTCTTTTAGAACCAAACTCATCAAAATACTAACATATATTTATTTGTTACGGTGTTTTGAATTAACCCAAAGACACTTTCACTTTCTAATTGCAATGATTTTTAAACTTGTAAAATATCTATAATATATATATAATAGAAGTTAAGTATATACCGTCACTGATCAAATAATTTACGCATAAAAAATAATCTTTTAAAATATCTGACAAATTTTGTGAATTGGCTAATATTTTAAGCTCTACTTAATATGATGGTATAATACGTGTTGTGTGACATCTCCACCCCATCCACATGTAAAGCAGATCGTATACCATCTAACCAGATTGCTAAAAATCTATCTCCAGCCTTTTTTAATATGATCTAATCTATTAAAAAGAATCCATTCGATTACATTCTCATATCCTGTAGCTTTAAGTTAAATTCTTTAATGCAATCGTCAACATCCTTATTTCCACTTGTCCATCAGGGACACACGTTTGAAACCAAGATATAGTTGGTGGTAGAATTACTGAATTACGGCATTCTACCATATGGTAGAATTAATTACGGCATAGCATCTGATTGC